ACCTAAAAAAAAAAAAGTCAGTTAAAAAAAAAAAAAAAAAATATGTAAAAAAATTAAAAAATTAAAAAAAATATAGCATTTCGAGATTAAAGTCGAAATGTTTCGAGATTAAAGTCGAAATGTTTCGAGATTAAAGTCGAAATGTTTCGAGATTAAAGTCGGAATGTTTCGAGATTAAAGTCGAAATGTTTCGAGATTAAAGTCGAAATGTTTCGAGATTAAAGTCGAAATGTTTCGAGATTAAAGTCGGAATGTTTCGAGATTAAAGTCGAAATGTTTCGAGATTAAAGTCGGAATGTTTCGAGATTAAAGTCGAAACATTGTGCATTCATAACAGTACGCGTCCACTGGCTCAGAGCGCGCGTGTGAAGTCGAACTGCCATGGACAAACACAAAATAGTAGCTTTTTACTTTTATCTGAATTACTTATCTTACTTTATCGTTATAAAATATAATGCGCCGGAATAGACTTTAGCCTATAGGAAAAACCAACACGGAAAACACTTTTCAGACTGGATGGAGAAATCCAGCTTTATGAATGAATGAATGAATGAATGAATGAATAGGGCATTTATATAGCGCTTTCATATATGCCTACACTCAAAGTGCTTTACAATCATATCAGAGAATCTCTCCTCAAGCATTAGTGGTTATTAAATCTTAGGAAATCACAGGATCCGGCCAAATGATTGAATACAGAATGATGCACTTAAAATGTATCCAGAGCGTATTTACGTTGAAGAGGGAGACCGAACAGTTACTGTTGTGTTCTCGACCCAGATAGTGTTGACTAGACGAGCACGAAAACACCTCAGAAACACTGACACTAGCACGTGTGACGTGTGTAGAATTTTGTTGAAAGCCCAGATAAAAGTAAAAAGCTACTATTTTGGGTTTATCCATGGCAGTTCGACTTCACACACACACACACACACACGCGCGCGCTCTGAGCCAGTGGACGCGCACTGTTATGAATGCACAATGTTTCGACTTTAATCTCGAAACATTTCGACTTTAATCTCGAAACATTTCGACTTTAATCTCGAAACATTTCGACTTTAATCTCGAAACATTCCGACTTTAATCTCGAAACATTTCGACTTTAATCTCGAAACATTTCGACTTTAATCTCGAAACATTTCGACTTTAATCTCGAAACATTCCGACTTTAATCTCGAAACATTTCGACTTTAATCTCGAAACATTTCGACTTTAATCTCGAAACATTTCGACTTTAATTTTGAAATGCCTAGATTTTTTTTTTTTTTTTTTTTTACAGATTTTTTTTTTTTTTAGGTTGCAGTTCAGGGCTTCCGTAGGTACGGGTGACCTGTATACAGTAGCTAGTGTGACACAGGAGACGCCATCGAAACATTTTAAATACTTCATTTTAAAATATGCTGTGATATATCCAGTTGCCCACTCTGTCACTTTCATGTCGTTTTCACCGTGTGCTGTGTGTAAAATTGGCGTTACCTTGACAAAAGTTAAAGTCAAATTATTATTATTTATAAAATTTCAGTGCACATGAAATTACCAGATTAATGAGTGCCCTGTTACAGTGTTTACTTTCTTTTTGATTCACATAATCATATGTTTTAAAGGATGGCTTTATTTGTGAAAAAAAAAAACTGTAATGGGATTGCAGATTAAAGAAGTTGCCATCTAAACTATAGGGCCTAAGCATGTTTATTTTCAAGATTTTTTTTAAATATAAGTTTATTAAATTTATCTAATATATATATATAAATTTTAAAAAACAAATCAGCTTTATATTGGCCACCCTGCTCTCTCAGATATCGGCATCGGCCATCAAAAAACCCATATCGGTCGACCACTAGTCATAGACCATTTCACACGATTCGCTCAAGCCTACCCGACGAGAAACAAGTCAGGAAGGACAGCGGCGGAGCGGTTGTTTAATGATTACGGTTCAGTTACATCATGATCAGTGCAGATAGTTCGAAAATGAGCTGTTCGGAAATCTCCGACAACTGGCTGAGGTACGTCACTCAAAAACATCTCCTTATCATCCTCAAGGGAACCCGGCTGAGAGATTCAACTGCACTCTCCTGCAAATGCTTCGAACAATGGCGGAGAAAGAAAAGGCAAAGTGTAAAGATCACCTACTCCAGATGGTGCATGCGTACAACTGCACTTGTCATGAGTCAACAGGATACTCCCCATTCTACTTGCACGGCATCCTTGCCTTCCCGTCCACTTAATATTCGGATTGGTTAAAGAGGATGAGGGGTAAATGCCCAGAGGATTCGCCGAACAGTGGGCTAAAAGAATGGCCGAGGCATACCAAATCGCAAGTGAGAACAGCAAACTGCCAAGTGCACGAGTCAAAGCCCAGTACGACCTCGAAGTGAAAGGAGTAGTGATAAGACCCGGGGACAGGGTACTAGTAAGAAACCTGAGTGAGCATGGAGGCCCCAGAAAACTCCAGCCCGATCTCATGAAAGTTCGTATCTATGGCACGAATGTCATTTCTCGTGGCATTTATACGCCAAAAACAGTTTTTGCGTGTATATGGCACGCGTTTTTCGCGTACATATGATACGCACTTTTTTGCGTATAATACGCACGAACTCCCCACCCCCCTCCCCCCTAAACCTAACCCAGGGTTTTTTAGTGCGTACCATATACATGAAAAAAACACTTTTGGCGTATAAATGCCACGAGAAATGACACTCGTGGTATAGATACGCATCTTCATGAGACTGTGTTGGAAAACTCATAACCAGTATTGGGTAAGTTACTCTAAAAAAGTAATTAATTACTAGTTACTAATTACCTCTTCAACAGTGTAATTAGATTACTGTACGAATTACTCTCTCTAAAAAGTATTTAATTACTTTACTAATTACTTTCAAAATCCCATATCAATCTCAACCAGCTAAATAATAGGGATAGACATGAATCTGTTTTAATTCTTTGAAATAAATACCATAAAATTGCATGAATTATCCTTAAACAGACCACGGTGGAGAAGGTTACATTATAAAAACATACTTTTTAACATCAGACAATACATTTTGATGTTAAACCCACTATCGTTTTATGTCTGATCTCATGACATTTGACACTTTTGTCATACATATTTTACAATAATTCATACGAATTTGTACGAGTGCGGTCGTACGATTTAGACACCTCATATGAATCGATCGGATTGATCTACACACAGTATTTACCTCAATTACATCAGACGTAACTGTAATTAAATTACAGATAAATGAAGAGTAATCCCTTACTTTACATTTTCAAGGGAAAAGTAATTAAATTCCAGTAACTAATTAATTAGTAATTAGTTACACCCAACACTGCTCATAACATACTGAGAGAAAGCCATCTATGTGGTCAAAGAACAACCTGGTGTATAAGGTGAACCCCAAAAATGGAGGTACGAAGGGAACACACAATCTACATTGAAACCTGTTACCTGTTGACACTCCGGATCCTGGGAAATTTGGGAAGCAGAAGCAAAACAGACAGAAGGACAGAGACACAGTGTAAGGAGCTCACTTACCAGACTGATTCGGATGAGGAGTATTGGCTGAGGATTGTTTCGAGTTGGACCGAGACAAGGAGGTATTTATATGTCGAGTCCAGAACCAAGTCTGGAAAATCCTGTGTTTGGAGTGGCTCCACCAGGATCTGCAAGAGAAGAGCGAGATCAGCAACACATTCTCATCCCAAAAAGTCATATAACTGACGTTTTGGGACGTCTTTTGACCATACGTCAATATTCGCCTTTTTAGGGCCCCCTTAAACGTCGGTAGATGAGGTTATGGGATCCTGACTCTACCCCAGACCTAAACCTAACCCGTCACCGAACTGACATTAAAGGTAAAGCGTCAGTTGTATGACGGCCCGGGATCGCCATCTACCGACGTTTAAGGGGGCCCTAAAAAGGCGAATATTGACGTATGGTCAAAAGACGTCCCAAAACGTCAGTTATATGACTTTTTGGGGTGAGACTGCGCTGAGATCAGATACAAATGTCACCACAGAGGTAAGATATCCAAGTCAGTCAATCTCTGGATGAACCTGTTCACTTCTCCATATCCTCGCCAAGGAGTGAGGAAAATGGTAAGGTTGAGAGTCTTCGGATGAGTGATGCGAGGGACTATCTAGCCGAAGAAGACCCAGTTATGCTAAGATGATCTGAACACTGAAGAGCATGTTCACGTTCGGGACACTGGGTCAACCTTCAACACAACCTTTGACAGTGTAACCAACACTATCTCACGACCAATTCGTACGAATTTGACGCATGATTAAAAAGTGTCTAATTCGTAAGACCTCACTCGTACTAATTCCTACGATTTGTCTAAACCCACGGGATGGTTAGGTTTAGGGGCGGGGTCAGGGGTAGGTCATTCGTACGAATTCATACGAATTGGCCAATTCGTAAAATATGTACGATTTAGCAAAATCGTATTAATTCGTACGTGTGAGGTCGTATGAATTGTTACGAATTAGCCACTTTTTAATCATTCGTCGAATTCGTACGACTTGGTCGTGAGATCGGGTTGGTGTAACAGCTTATACTTGACTTAAAGTTGACATTAGTATACTGTTGACATCAAAAGTATTTTTGGATATCAAAACCAACATTGTTCAATCCAACAAAATGAATCGATAACCACTTTGTGCTTTGTCTTGCACTGTATTTTATTTTATGATCAACTGTACGAGCATGTGATGACTTGTTGTACTTATCAACCTTTCATGTTGTACTTATCAACCTTAAAAAAAAAAAAAAAATACGATGAAGATGCATTTGAAAGCCAGTTAGGCTTGTTAGATCAGTTCATCAAAGCTTTTCATTCAACGAGGCACTCGACACAAAGGCTGCTGTGTAAGAATATTGTAAGAGACCAATATAGCTCTCAGTATTTTAATATACAATTAATGTTTTTTTTTGTTTGTTTTTTGTTTTTTAAATGCAGTTTTTTACTAATGAAGTAACTTGTTTTGCTGTAAGCAGACAGGAGAGCGACAGTGAAGATCATCTGTGAGGTCGACACATCCAGTCCTTCGATTGCCATGAGTTTCGGGTGAGTTGAAATTGATGTGCTATACACAGGATAAGTATACGTACTGTAAGGGGTCATCCACGGCTAGGTGTACACTACTACATTTTAATGCACAATATGGAAGCAAAACCAGCTGATTTGTGCTGCTGCACAAGTAAAAACCATGTAATATTGAACATTATCCTTGGATTGTCCCACATATCCCACGGTCATTTGCCAGCACTAGCATGTTAAAGGCAGGGTAAAAATCATGCATTTTCATCAGATACAGTTTGTTAGATCTAGCATTCGGCGTGTTTTAAATCAGAGAGATAAACAAAAGTGGAAAGAGTACTACATTTTTTTTATTTTTTTTTATACTTAATTACGAGTACAAGTACTGGCAAATCTCCTTAAGTAAAAGTAAAATGTAGCTCATTTAAAATTTACTCAGAGTAAAAGTTGCCAAGCTACTTGTTTAACACAGCAGGGTGGGGGAATCTCCCGTGTAGCGTTGAAACAGTATGAGAGTTTCACAGTATGATAATATCACGGTTTATATAAACTGTATTATTAAATTATCAGTTAAAATGTAATGAATGAAAAATAAATTAAACATCTGTTCAATAAAACATATCAAATCAACTAATTTCAATAACTGCATTAAGAACTTATTTTATCATAACTAAATATGTTTATTATAACTTATTAAAATGTTGTAGTTTTATTAAATGTTTTTTATTCAGATATTTTTTTTCTTTTTAAGATTTAATACAAATATATTATCAAAAACGGTGGTAATCAAATAAAAGTTTATCAAACGTTTTATCCTTTTATTTTTTTGGCAAAGTGCTGCAAAACAGATTTACTCAAACCACGGACAAACAACATTCCACTAAATTTGTAAATTCCATAAAATCTGTAATTCCATTAAATTCTATTATTAGGTGTTCAAGCACGAAGTGCTGAAAACCTATTGTATTTGCTAGAAAGAAAGAAAAAATCCCCTAAAACGCATCGTGCAGCCCAAACCGTAAGGGCTGGAGCTGTGAAACTTTGTCAGATGGTAGGGCCTCAAATTGTGGAGAAGCTATCAGAGTATGAGCCCGATTGGCCCATAGGTGGCGCTACAGCAGCCAAAAGTACTAAATTGCTCATAACTCCTAGACCGTTTGACTTAGCTTCAATTTACACCACTGTAATCCCTGGCTCAAGACGGACAAGATGTATATCTCGGATTTCCATTTGGAGCAAAAAAAAAAAATTGTTATTTCGGTTTTTGTCCAAAACCCACTTTTGCGAACTAGTCCCTGGTTTTTTGCCCAATCGGGACCAAACCAGTCTAGGCCTATTCTCTGGACTCTCTAGATCAATAATTATCGAAAAAAAGTTGAAATTTTGCATTTGGTTGGCTGTAACAGGCTCATTTAGATAGTAGTCTGTGGCAAAATTCAGTCAAAAGCCCCTAAATCCCCCCCAAAAAGTCACAACTTCACACAAATCGATGAGCATATGTGTCCTAACATGTTAAAAAGCTTTAAAACCATGCATTTCCAATGTTAAATTGCCTGTATTGATTGTAAATGGTGTTTTACATCTAGTATGTCCGTGGATAAATGCATGTTAAATAAAATTGAATGCCTTTCGATGCTTTTGTGCTTAAAGGCCTGAACTGCTTGAACACCGATAAATGCTGCTTGCAGCTTTAATTATTATTATTATTATGAGAAGCGCATTCTATTGTAGACCTAAACTAGTAATATGTCATAATTACTTTTTGTCGGTTGTTAAGTCCTGTTTTAGATATATTTGACAATGGTTTTTCTCAAATCAAATTATGAAATTACTCATTAAGCGTTCTCTCAGAGCAGCTCTGGAAATGTTCATGTTATTCAATCATGTCCTCATATTGTTTTTGAGACGCTGAAAACACCATGAGTGCGTCGCATACTTGAGTATGTATAACAGCACAGCTCATTCACACAGAGACACGGAACAACCAAATGATTTCATAGCAGTCTTTTGTGTTTTTATATTCACAGATCCTGTCACGATTTGATTTATTGAACAGCTTTGCTTTTGATGTATTCATCTATATGCCTACCAATTTGTATGGAAGCCCACAGTAAAAATAATTCTGTAAGGCATAATAATGAGAAACTTTCTCATAATTATGACTTTGTTTCTCATTATATTGAGAAAGTTTCTCATAATATTAATGAGTTTCTCATTATGATGACTTAAGGTCCAACCTTCTCAAGCTGCTTCGACTTCACCGCTGTACACTGGTCTGTAGCAAGATGACGTTTCAACGGTCATGAACATAATCCTGCAATATATATATATATTTTTACCTTTATATGTATAACATTATGTCATTCTAGATTTGCATCAAATTAGACACAAAAACTAATTGTTGTAGTCCAGTCCATTCACTAACTTCAGCTGCTGAGAAACCCAAAAATGTAAAAAAGCTAATGGCGCCATCTACAGGTGATATTAGGAATAGATAATGGGCATTGTAGGCCCTACATTGTTCATAATTACAAATTAAGAAAAAATCGAATTTGTGAAAAATAAATATATAATTTTTAAGAGCCCTAGCATTGCATCTATCAGTTGAAAACAAGAAAATCTAAATCATTTAAAAATATGTAGACTAATGTAAATTTTCCATAAATTAACATTTATTTGTAATCCTGTATATACTTAGATTATAGGGTATTGCAATTTCATTATCAGTAAATATATTTTAAATAACAGCAAATATATTTTAAATTTAAAATATATAATATCACTATAAATAAAAAAAATAAGGATACACATACTTTATGTGGGGTTACAGCAAAAATGCTACATTTGTTTTTCTTTTTTTTATTAAGCAAATCAGTATATTTTTGTAAATATAATAATTACTGTTCACCTCTTATTTCATATCAGTTATACTTTAAATAGTTTTTTTGTTTATTTGTTTTTAACCGCATAAGTTAGAGAAGTCCACTTTCATGCCGAAATCCAACAACTACATAATTCAAAAGATTTGTCAAATGGATGCATTTTTTTTTATAAAAAAATAATAATAAAAAACTATAATTTACATTGATATCAATGTGATGTCTATATGACGTCAACTGAACGCCTATAACATGACGTTGAGTTGACGTCAACTCAATGTCAATGGCCTAGATACTTATATCATCACTTTCAGTATGGGTTTAAACCTCATATTTTCACCAAGGTTAGGGATGAGATGTAACCCTCACCTTTATTTATATAGCGCTTTTTACTATGCAGATGTATCAAAGCAGCTTCAGAGTGATAACATGAAGAAAAAATATATAACACAGATCAATAATATTGTTGAATATTAAATTGTCCCCAACTAAGCAAGGAAAAAGCAAGGCGACAGTGGCAAGGAACCAAAACTCCATCAGGGACAGAATGGAGATAGAAACCTTAGGAGAACCCAGTCAGTCAGGGGCCAGTTCTCCTCTGGCCAACGAAAGAACAGTGTGATTCGGGTAGCATTACAAAACATATTGGATTGAAACATTAAGAGTATTTGTCCATTTCCATCTGTTTGTAAGTCGAAGTAATCACGCCGGTTTGTTGACGAGATGTTGAGGATCAGTGCCGATGGCTGTCGTGTCAATGAGGCCGGCACTTAAATGGATACTCCACTTTTTTTGGAAATGGGCCCCTAGAGTTGAACAGTTGAGTTTCACCGTTTTCGAATCCATTCAGCCGATTTTCTGATATTTAGACGAATATCCGTAACCAGAAAGTTTCTGGTCTCATTGACTACCATAGTATTTTTTTTTTCCCTACTATGGAAGTCAATGAGACCAGAAACCGTCTGGTTACGGATATTCTTCTAAATATCATAAAATCGGCTGAATGGATTCGAAAACGGTGAAACTCAACTATTTAACTCTGGGGGAGTTGTAAAATGAGCCTATTTCCAAAAAAAGTGGAGTATCCCTTTAAGGATGAGTCTGGATGGGTCCAGGCGCAGGTCCACCATAGAGGGTCCCTCGGGATAAACAGAGAAACTGATATTAGCGTAGAGACGCCATCCTTCTTTTGATGTACCAAGTACGGGACGGGACGTGTTCCCGGTTCCGGCTGATCTAAACAATGCAGCCTAATTTGAATTAAGGAAGTCTATAGTGTGTTATGTGTATGCTAGGCCAAAGAGATGTTTTAGTCTAGATTTGAACTGACAGATTGTGTCTGCTTCCCGGACAATGTTAGGAAGATTGTTCCAGAGTTTTGGTGCTAAATAGGAAAAGGATCTACCGCCAGCAGACGATATCGATATTCAAGGTATTATCAACTGGCCGGAGATTGAGATCGCAATAGACGTGAAGGACTATAATGTGTTAAGAGCTCGCTCAAGTACTGCGGAAGCATTCAGTGCTTTATAAGTAATGAGCAATATTTTAAAATTTATTTTATACCATGTTTAATAGGCAGCCAATGCAGGGTTGACAGAATATGGTCATACTTCCTGGTTCTGGTAAGAACTCGAGCGGCTGCGTTTTGGACTATCTGAAGTTTGTTTATTAAGCGTGCAGGGCAACCACCCAGTAGAGTATTGCAATAATCTATTACCTCTGGAAGCATCTCTTTCAGTAGTTTAGTCGGTAGGGTCTAGCATACAAGTTGTTGATTTTGATGATTTAACGAGTTTGCAAATTCGTCCTCTACTAGCAGCAAATGAACCAAATCTTTCCTCAGGGAGACAACAATGCACCCCCTGATGATGCGATACTGTAGTACACAGTTGCATAGTTATAATTGTGTCCCTGATATTATCGATCTTATTATATATAATAAGTCTTTTTATAGTTAGTTTAGCCACTGTTTCAAATAGATACCTGGATTATGTTTATTTCCTTCTAATAGGTTTGAAAAATAAGCAGAACTAGTGTTTTTCAAGGCATCTCTGTATGCGATAGAGCTCTCCTTCCAGGAGATGCGAAATACCTCTAGTTTAGTTTTCTTCCAGCTACGTTCTATTTTTCTGGCTGCTCTTTTAAGGGCCCGAGTGTGCTTCTTGTACCACGGCGTTGGACTATTTTCTTTAATCTTCTTAAAAGTGCAATGGAGCAACTGCGTCTAAAGTGCTGGAAAAGAGAGAGTTAAAAGTTTCGGTCACGATATTGAGTTCTTCTAAGCTAACTCAACGATCAGCGTGCTGGAACAAAGGCAAAGAGCCGTAAAAGCTGATACGGCGTTCTGCCTTGGTTTCTCATATGGTTTTGGAAGTTACTGTTGTCATAGCCCGTTATTTTCTCGTTAAAACAGTCAAAATGAATCACGATATTCATACACATGATAAAGGAGGTCTCAAATACCACAAAAATGACACTAACTAATTTTTGACCAAACATGATGTTACGGCGTTTTGCCTTTGTACGGCAGTGTAGAGCTGCGGGCTAGGCGACACCAAACACTTTCACTAGGTTTATAGCCAACATGTAGAGCCATTTTTCTTCCCAGGTCCTCACTTCAACCAGCCAGTTACACCGGCGTTCCAGCTTTAATGTCAGCCTCAACATGCAGCAGTGAACCTTGTCCTCCCCACCCCTCATTCAGACGTGGCGGAACGTCCGAAGCCAGACCTAGTACTCGTATGCATGTGTAACCTGTGCTGGGCTGGGTCCAATATGTTGTGATCCATATGGCGATCCCATATGTGAATCACCCCAATGACATTCCATATGCTGTACTGCCCGTAACTGGCCAGTCCACATTCACATATGATATATTTACATGCAATATACACAATACAGCAAATATAACGATAGAATATATATCGTGGCAATGATATAAAATGTCTGTCATTACACCCAATCCTAGTTGTATGACAGTATGACATGAAAAGACCACTGACCTTGGGGTAAAGACATATTAAATGTTCTGTATTTGGATTGTTTTCCAAAAATATTGTTTCTTTACATTAATATGATCAAGTTGGAGATGTATGTAACATTAGAGCCCGTTCTCATCCCAAAGCGCCATATACGACGCTTTTGCAAAAGCGTAAATATCCAACGCACATGGCACCCTTTAACGTCAAATGAGACGCAGATATATTTGGGCAGAAGGCGCCCCTTAGTGGTCTAACCCTTACCCTACACCATACCTAAACTTAACCATAGCCGAAGCGTCTCATTAGACGTTAAAGGGTGCCATGTGCGTTGGATATTTACGCTTTTGCAAAAGCGTTGTATATGGCGCTTTGGGATGAGAATGCGTTGAACATTATGTTGATATATTGATGGATAGCCTACTACTATTCAAAAAGTTTTAGCTACATAAATATTCTGAGAAATATTTGACATATTTTACAGAGAGACAAGACTTCCACCAAGCGGACCAACTCATCAAGGTCCTCCAAAACGATGTAATCTAAGCACAGAGAGAAAAGTGCTTGATGATCATGGGAAAGTCAGAAAATGGACTTACGGTAAAAAAGAAACAAAGAAACAAAACAAAATTGTTCTGCTGGTGGGAGAAACCGGCACTGGCAAGACAACTCTTATTAACAGCATGGTCAACTACTTACTGGGAGTGAAGTTTGAAGATGAAATATGGTATGAAATCACTGAAGAAGAAGCCAGAGACCAATCAGAATCCCAAACCTCTGAAATCACCATGTATGAGGTCTTTCCTGTAGAGAATCCTGTAGCTCTCACCATCATTGATACTCCAGGATATGGAGACACTAGAGGACTGGAAAAAGATCTGGAAGTTGCTGAGAATTTATCCATGTTGTTTCAGAGCAGTGATGGGGTTCGTGAAGTCGACGCTGTGTGTTTTGTGTTTCCAGCGTCTAAGAATCGTCTCTCGGACAGACAGCATTACATCATCAGTTCAGTTCTGTCTTTGTTTGGAAAAGACATTGTGAACAACATCGTGTTTCTAATCACACACTCTGATGGTCTGCCACCCCAAAACGTCCTCGGCGCCATTAATAAAGCTAGAATCCCCTGCAGACGAGACCACAAGAACCAGCCTGTTCATTTCTTATTCAACAACCGGCAGGCGGACGCCCGTCACAATGAGAGACGTTACCTTCGTGCTCAAAGAGATGCTTGGGAAAACAGCATGGACGAGACAAAGCAATTCCTGCAGTCTCTGGAAGAAATGAACAGAAGAAGTTTAGAGTTGACTTCAGATGTCCTGATTGAGCGCATTCAATTAGAAGCGTTTATCTGCAACTTACAGCTACGAGTTCAAGAGAAAGAGTCGAAGAAATCTGAAAAATGTCAGATCCAGGAGGTAATGAGACAAAACAAGGATAAAATTGAGAGGCGCACAAACTTTAGCATTAGAGTCAAAAAGGCTGTCAAAAAGAAGGTTCCCTTTGAAAGCGCTTCATGGAAGAACAGGAAGGCGACGACCTGCTCCGTCTGTAAGGAAAACTGCCATGAGATTGGCTGCTGGTGGGTTTCTAATCCCAGCAAATGTGAAGTCATGAAAAACGGCTACTGTACCGTGTGCACAGGGAAGTGTCACCACAGCAAACACCTCAAAGAAAACAAGAAATATGTCATCAGCACCTCAGATGTTGTGATGGAATTTGATCAAATAAAAAAGGAATATGAACAAGCTCAAAATAAGAGATTTTCAGTTGTGATGGATGATCTTGACAAAGATCTAAAAGATATTGAGGACCAAAAGCAAATTCTTCTGTTCAATGCCTACAAGACCATCAAGCATCTGTCTCAGATCGCATTAAAGCCAGACTCGGCCTTCACTCTTCAGCATCTGGACTTCTTCATCCCCAAACTGAGGGAGGCTGGGAAAGAAAACTGGGTCCGAGAGCTGGAGGAAATGAGGAAAACCGCTGAAACTGAAGAAGCCAATAAAGATGCTCTGAGTTATCTGAAAGCTGGTCTAACAAAACTGTTCCTTGGTGCAGTGAACAAACGCAAAGACGACAAGAGATGAATCAATGCAAATGAAGATTTCTTTCAGTGAGAAATCAATGCATGTTCTGTAGATCTCAAAAAAAATTTTATTTTAATCATAGTATCAAGCTTTTAGTGCTCGTTTAAAAGGCAAGCAACTCCAATACAATGCTAGTTTATAATATTTAAAGTCCCCGTGAAATCAAAATTGAACCTATTTACTTTGTTAGCGCATATTACTAGTCTTGTGGTGAACAATTAATCCGTGCAAGTGAATATATATTAAAAAAATGTTTTACCTTAGTAATCTTTAATCAAAATCTGAAAAGTTACTTCCGGTCTGGAACGGTTTCTTTTTCTGATGACGTAGGTTTCACAGTTTGGGTGGGGAAACGCTTAACCACTCCCCTCAAACCGTTAGTTTGCTATGAGCGACAGATGGAGAGGAGGAGCGCTAGAGTAAAACCCTGCCCTCTGATCAATATTCTGTTTCACACCCCCAAGGCGTCACTTAACTGACGCCTTGGGAAGCATTTGGACATGCTTCAATATCTGACACTTTAGGCGCCCTTTAGCGTCAGTTAGATGACGCCCTAGGATCGCGTGTACCCTACCCCCACCCCACACCTAAACCTAACCGCGTCCTCTAACTGACGCTTTCCTTTAGCCTCAGTTAGATGACGCCGTAGGATCGCGTCATGTAAGTGACGCTAAAGGGCGCCTAAAACGTCAAATATTGAAGCATGGTCAAAGGTGACGCCTTGGGGTGAGAATGCGTTGAAATACGTCACAGCACTGGAGAAAAATCGTTTGCAACTTCCGGTTCACGGGGACTTTAATAATAATATAATATTAATATATAATAATATATTATTATAACTATAACATAATATAATAACTTTAATATTTTGGGGAACTGGATCGTAGTTTTATTAGAAATGTCACATCCATAAACGGTGATGTTTACTCTTGTTTTAAATAAAAATGCAATTATTAGTTCTTTAGTTTTAATTTGGTTTATCAACTAAAGTTAAATGTACAACTTTTGATTTTTAAAAAAAAATAATTAATATTTAATGTCTAAATTATAAAAGGTGCCTAAGAGGGATTGACTAATGATGGTTGAGGGAATACATTGGTGGCTAATACAGGGATACTAATCAGGGGTGCATTTCCCGTACAACGACGTAGTTCGCTTCTTCACTACCATAGTACGATGCATCGTTGGAAAAATCAACTAGCTAGTCACGACTGTTTCCCGAAACCCACTGTCGCAAAGTATCGTTCAACCACGTTGGTTTCGCACGAGGTGGAGTAATAACTACTTTTAATGAAACTGTTTGAGATCCAATTAACGCTAGATTTGTTTTATATAAATTACAGACATGTCATCTGAGGACTATTTCTAATTTTTCTTAGTTGTTTTGCTTTATTACCAGACTCAATATTTGGCTCATTCTTACATAGTAGAACACGTTCGCACATGCGCACTCTTCAAACACGTTACTTTGAATATTTTGACAAACTAAAAGACGTAAATTACATTTGTAAGTATTCTAAATAAAAGACACCGGTTGAACTGAATGTCACTTATTTTGCTCAAGATAAGGATTTCTTACCTCCAAATGTGTTGCAATATAGAAACGATGCCTCTAACCACAGGTCGAGAGCTGACGTTCAAACCACACAACTCTGCGATGCTGTTTGCGGATTTTCGTTGGAACGATGGTTTCGGGAAACACCGACTCGTTAAACTATGCTGATAACGACGGAACTTGCGACCATAGTTGGCTAACGATGCTTTCGGGAAACGCGCCCCTGGTTGGTTTAGTTAATCCACCGTAGTCCAGGACAGACTACAGTGTAGTGGGGGAAACCCCAAGAGTGCTCTCCTTTTCAATTGAGGTGAAAATTGGATCTTTTGGATTGGATACTGTATGTGCACCAAAGGAACCAAAGAAAAGTGCTGACCATAATGGGGAAATCTCAGAGTAAAATGCACAAAAAAGATCAATATGATGAACCGATGTTTTGTTTGATGAAAATAGTATATAGGAAAAAAAATGATTGAAGGGTATTGAAGAATTAATAAATACCATGATTTCCCTAAAGAAGGAACTGAACTGGTATGTAGAGAAGTAAGGAACGGGGAGTGTGTTAAGTTCCACGTGTGTTTGTATTTTGTTCTTTCTCCTCTGTGTTTGTAAACTCATTTTAGGTTGCGATCATTGGATCATCTGGCTGTCCATCATACCAATGACGTCAGGATGCTTGACGTCTTGACCGGCGTGACTAATCGGCTGGTGTGCCATCAGTTTAAAAGGCCCTATTCATCATGAATGAGTATTGAGGGATCAGTGTCAGACCGTACTCACACATGTGTCTTTGGTCAAGCCGATAATCCAGTTTGCTCTCCTTATGATTTGTTTGATGTGGTTTTGTTGTTGTGATGTTGCCGCTGGGGTGGGTAGGATTGTTATATTATACGCGGACAGACCAAGAAAGATGCACTGCGCTGTAACAAACCACTCGATTTAACTGTATTTTAACTGTCTTTTTGTTTGGTTAATAATGTTGATGATATGAGATTGATTGTTGAATTACGGCCATCTGTAAGCCACTTGACTGATTGATCTGAGAACTATACAACATCGGTACGTAGGTTTTTCTCTATGTTAGTTAGTTTAAAGAGTGATCGCCAGTAATTGTATTTTTGTTCTAATCAGAAAAGTTTATTTAAGGCGTCGACACACGCTGAAGAACTCGGTCTTGTTTCTGCATTTTTCTTTCGGTAGATAGTTTAAAGGTTGGGCTCATAGTTATGGGGATTTGGCTTTTGATAATTTCATTGATTTGGCGACACGACTGCCTTGTTTTGTTTCTTTTCTGTCTTTAAAGGGGTGATGAACTGAGAAATCAAATTTTCCTTGAGCTTTTGACATCTAAGAAGTCATCATATTATAGGAATATCCTGTAAGTTTCAGAACTGTAAACGTCCTTGTTAGTCCAATAAAAGCTTTTATTGACACCAGCCTCTGAAAACGACTCGTTTTTAAAAGTGGGGAACTATGACGTCAAAGGGCTTAAAACACCACCTATATACTATATGATATACTAAGTCGAGAAGCATAAACAGCTGGTGGCACAGTAATCATTCCCGTAATCTCAGGGAACCGAGGATAAGTTAGTAACCGTGTTAACCAACCCGATCTCACGGGAATTCGTACGAATTTTACGAGGTGGCTAATTCGTAACAATTTGTACGACCTCACTCGTACGAATTAGTACGATTTAGCTAAATCGTACATATTTTACGAATTAGCCAATTCGTACGAATGACCTACCCCTGACCCCGCCCCTAAACATAACCGTCGCGTGGGTTTAGACAAATCGTAGAAATTTGTACGAGTGAGGTCGTATGAATTAGTACGAATTAGCCACTTTTGAATCATTCGTACGAATTCGAGATAGGGTAGTGTTAACACAGTCTCATCGCAAGAAGTCATAAAGCACTCAAAATTTGGCCCCTCAGTACCTTACTGATCTACTTCACCCGTACACTCCTTCTAGAAGTCTGAGATCTAGCGATCAGTGTCTACTCATCGTGCCATCGTTATCTTATGCTAAGCTGAATATTTCATGAACCCATGTGTGCTGAGAGCTAAGATATGAGTTTTGCATAGAAGTTTGTGTGCAATGCAATATATCACTGATGATTAACTGTGTTGGCATATTCTTCACAAGGAAAATAACGTTTCCAGTGACGCACATGCACCACAAACTGAAGGACAGTTTCTTAATATGGAAATTGGATTGTGCCATGCCTTATGGAAAGAAAATATATTTAGTTATATATGAGAGGTCAATTTATTAAAAGATTTTCGTTAACACTTTACAATAAGGTTCGTTTATTAAACATTAGTTAATGTATTAACTAACATGAACTTATACATTTGTTACTGTTTTGTTAATCTTTGTTAACGTTAGTTAACACAAATCCAGCTGTTCATTGTTTGTTCATGTTAGTTCATTAACTAATTTTAACAAGATTTTAGTAAAGTATTAGTAAATGTTGAAATTAACATTAACAAAGATTAACAAATGCTATAGAAGTATTGTTCATTCTTAGTTAGTGTTAACTAATGTAGCTAACTAATGAACCTTATTGTAAAGTGTTACCAGATTTTCAGTATATTGGTTATTACAGTATATTGAATGTAGCATTGTGTTAATCTATTACAATATATTGATTGATACATGAAAAATTGCAGCTTTTCATATATTGAGAAATGTCAAAGTAATTGGAGTCATATATTCACATTTATATGGGAATATAGAATTCAGAGGACATAGCTATTTATCATAATATATGTGAATATATGAGATTATGGGCCCTATCATGCACCCGGCGCAATGCAGCGGCAAGCGCAACGCAAGTGTTTTCGCTAGTTTCAGCTCAACGCAGTTTTCATTTCACGTCCTACGCCATGTTGTTAAAATAGCAAATGCATTTGCGCCCATTTGTGCGCCTGCTGGTCTGAAAACGAGGAGTGTGTTCAAGTGCATTGATGGAGAGTTGCTATTATGTATATATATATATATAAGCCTCTAAGTGCCATTTGAAATTTTCTTCTTTAATGATGATTTTTATCAAACTTGTATATTTAAGTTCAGTAATTCCACTTAAATGGCAATGAAGATTACCTATTAATTTGTCATTTAAGTGAAATGATTGAACTTAAATATACAAGCTTGATAAAAATGGTCATTCTAGAAGAAAATTTCAAATGGCACTTAGAGGCTTTTGCATCTGAACTCTTCATATATATGTTGTTGGTTGAATATATATATATATATATATATATATATATATATATTCAACCAACAAGAACCAACTGACCAATGAAAATATGACCAAAAAGAACCAAAAGTGCTCTTTCATGCCCTCGTTACAGGAGACAAACTGTTTATCAATCTTCTGTTCATCAAACACTGTTGAGTGCTGCTTTTCCAACCCTTTATTCAAAACCATAACTGACAGTGCAAATTTACAGTGAAAAAAAAATCCAGTGCAAAAAAATAAAATAAAAAAATTGGACCAACTCAAAAAAACATACACATGTATGCTTTACATTTGCCAAATATATGGGCTTTTGAAAATAAAGTGCACAAAAAAGATGTACAAACTTGAGCTGTCAGAAGAATAAATAATTCTTAAAATAAGAAAAATACAAATCAGAAAACTTAACACGATTTGTTTGAACGTCAGAACTTGTACTCTACACTAAACTATAATATCTCCTTATATGAAAACAATGTAAATACAATATATATATACAATATATATATATATATATATATATATATATATATATAAACTAATAGCTACAATTAATTTGTCAGGCGTTGTGAAGACGAGGAACTCAACGTATATTATTAACAAACTAGTCTTACAGAAATGAAGGGAAACATTCCAGGACTTCAATTCATACAAGCACTGTAAAAAATATTTTCAACATTTGTTATCACAGCATATTTTCTTTTGTCAAATCCACTTTATAATAATTTATTTAGTTGAGATAACCTATTATTTTGAGTTTCTGATGGTTAAATTAATCTCCTTCATTGTATTAACTCACTTTTTCCAGTTCAATCAACTTAAAATTTTAAGGCAACCCAGGTTACTTACTTTTTTAAGTTAAACCAACAATATTTTTTACAGTGTAGTAATCAAAACATTTTTTCTTTTTGTCAAATCAACTTAAATAATTTATTTAGTTCGGATAACATATAATTTTGAGTTTTTGGTGGTTAAATTAATATCCTTCATTGTATTAACTCCCTTTTTCCAGTTCAATCAACTTAAAATTTTAAGGCAACCCATGTTACTTACTTTTTTAAGTTAAACCAACAATATTTTTTACAGTGTAGTAATCAAAACATTTTTTCTTTTTGTCGAATCAACTTAAATAATGTATTTAGTTCAATTTATTACCATGCATATAATTTTGAGTTTTTGATGGTTAAATTAATCTCATTCATTCAATATTGTTTTACAGTGAGTATACGACGACCTACTAAATGGTAAATGGTAAATGGACTGCATTTATATAGCGCCTTTATAGACCTAATGGCCACCAAAGCGCTTTACATTTGCCTCACATTCACCCATTCATACACTCATTCACACACCGACGGCGGTGTCAGCCATGCAAGGCGCCATCCAGCTCGTCGGGAGCAGCTGGGGTTAGGTGTCTTGCTCATGGACACCTCGACACTTGGTCAGGTGGAACCGAGGATTGAACCACCAACCTTCCGGTTCGTAGACAAGCCACATGAACCACTGAGCCACTGCCGCCTAAATTCTAAATTCTCTAACTCTTAACCCCATCAGCAGCCCTTTAAAATCATCCTTGCCACATTCACTCAGATTAAGACCAGAGTTTTGAATCAGCTCATTTCCTCAGAGAGGAGTCTAGCACTATTATAATGAATAGTCAGCTTATTTGCATTCATTGCACAGAAAGGCACTGACAGTCATAAATGACTGTCTCTGTAAAGTGAGTCATAAACTTTATAATTTTTAAAATAATGTATAAAGTTAGACCTTTATGTAGACAACTTAGAAGTTACTTGCCCATATGGAAAAGGTTTGCTTAAAACATCCGTGATTCTTATATGTTCCAACAGAATATTGTTAGGGACATATATGCTACAAAATCCACATATATAAATTGCATAATATTAATATATTTTTTAATCATAAATGTCATATACTGTATGTCCTAAATCCATATAGATTTTCCTGATGTAAAAACATAGGAACATAATGCTAATTTAATATTCATGTCCAGCATATATCTTAAAGTATAAGTTCAGTTTCAAACTCACCCTGATGTAATCCAAGATATCCATGTATCACTTACATTTTTTACACACAATGGACTTCAATGGCAACCAACTATCCAAATGTTCAAAGAAGTTTCAAAAGTTTATATATATATATATATATATATATATATATATATATATATATATATATATAGCTTGTGTCTTAGACCTTCATATTGTTTTGGTTTGTCAGACTGTAACTTGTATCCTACTAAATGAAAATTTTGTCTTTTGTTTTCTCAAGTTTATCAAAGATGATCTGAAGCTTATTAATTAATTTCCTCATTTCAACCATGAGTTTCCCAGAACTTTGATGTCATCTCTCCATCTATTTGTTCAGGTATGGACGTTTCTGCAAGTTTGTTCATGTCATTGAGCACTCTGCTATATTTTTACAAACTGAGAACATGTGAAACACAAGACTAAACCTGCTATAATCTGCTGTTACTGATGCAAGTGTATAGTTTCAGACATCTGCACAGTCAATTCAGTCAGTTTCTGCAGGTCTTTCATCTTTTCAGCCATAGGGGTGATTTTATCCTGAAATTCCTCCAGTTCAGCTTCATCTTGTGTTAATTGTGTCATCTGCAGCTTTTTTTCTCAGCACTGCATGTTGCTTGATGATTCAGAGCTCCTATGACAGTAACAGCAGTTGTAAACTAAACTAAACTAGTCAATGTACGTCTTGAAACATAATTTTCATGTGTTGTTCTCCCAGCTGTTATTTTGTTCTTCCTCTTTTGGGGCGGGACTCGGGGAGAAAGAAGAAGAAGAAGGACGGAGCATTGAGTTTGTTGGTATTCTTTTTAATACATTTTTATCGATTTAGACCTTGTTTGCCTTTTATTTATGTTACGAAAATGGTTTAAAACGAAATATAATATGTTAGTTCCGCATATTAAGTATAATGTAGTTTCTATCGTCGCGCCTCCGTTTCCACTCGTGGACTTCAAGCTCGAGCTTCTGTTTCCTTGTTCTTTAGGACGCAAAATACAGAAGATCTTCGATCAACACTGCAACCAGTCTAGTGAAACGGGTTACTAGTGTACAGTTTGTACTAACTGTGTATTTTAGATTTAATTTGCGAATATTAAGTAGGCTAATAACGCACCGAAAACCTGACCAAAACGAAACCGAAACCAAGTTGCCTAGGCGACACACTGATATAGGCTAAATATATTTGTATATTTTTTATTACTCAAAATGAGCCCGTTGTAGAGGAAACTTAAAGGCTACATTTCACTAATTAGCCTGTCTTTTGTAGCCTATAATAGGTTTAAGTAACAGTGAAAACAAGTGCATCATTTTTATTCATATTTTACATTAATAGATCTCTGGGGTGATAAATATTTCTGGTCAGTAGAGAAAGGTAAAGTTCATCCACTATTACATTAACTACACACAACACAGCAGGGTATTGGGCTCAGCCTATTGTTAGCTACTTACTGGTACATTTTTAGTTTATATTTATTATTCAAATGTATTTAAGAAATATATTAATATAGACCTGATTTATTGTTGACTGCTGTGTTTAATTCATTTCCCAAATAAAATGGAAAATGGGATGCGGCCGCACAGCTTACATTGGTCAACTTTTCTGCGGCTGTACAGCCAATAGAGTGAATTGATTTTTTTCGTTCTTTTTTCTATATTGTTAGGATTGTACTATATAACCATAACCAGCACCTAAACGAGGATTTTAATAATAAACAATCTTTGAAATCGTATACCCTAGTTTTAAAAGTCATGTATAAGTGTAGGCTATAAGCAAGTTGAGAAATAACCATGTCTATAAAGCTTTTTTGATGGACTTTTGAACATTGAGGATGATGTTGAAATGCACATTTCAGTTGTAGATCGTGTGATTGTGAATCTATTTGAGTTGATCATTTATCCGTATTTGTCTCATGCTGAATTGTCACCCTTCTCTTTGTAGGTTTTAAAGAGTCTGACAGCACATCTCTGATTACCAAGAGACAGTCAAAATGAGTGACTCTGACTCCAGTGTCAGTGATGACATCATGGAGCATCATCCAGTGCCATGTGAGTCAGTAAATTATACATTATGAATTTTTGAGCCATGTTTTGCCAAGGAAGATCTTTTAATCTTGGCATGAAAGAGCCTGCAACATTTATGAAATAAAAATATCTAATATCTATAAACCCGAAATATGGGAATATACTGCAAATAATGTGCTGTATTGCATAATACATTTCCATAAATGGGAAACTAGTGCTTATATGTTTCAATATACTGCAATATTGACCTGGCTGTATATTAATACATATACAATATCTATAAATGAAGACAAAAATAGCATTGCATGTAAATTTCACAAAGTTAGTGGAAAGTGGATTTTACCAATACCGGTATTTAAGTCAACCTGGTTGACTTAAAATTTTAAGTGCATTGAACTGGAAAAAGTGAGTTAATACAATGAAGGAGATTAATTTAATCATCAGAAACTCAAAATAATAAGTTATCTCAACTAAATAAATTATTTAAGTTGTTTAGACAAAAGAAAAAATGCTGTGATAACAAATCTTGAAAATATTTTTTTACAGTGTAGGACGTTTCCTGTCAGATGTCAAATAGACGTTTAGAAGATGTCTTTAAGATGTAATATGTTAAACTGACATCTATCAGATGTTAACAGCAGATGCTTTCCAGATGAAGTGAACTTTAACAGACATCTTGTGCTATCTGGGAGTTGCTGAAATAAGTGAGTGTTGTAGTACACAAAAGCAATCACGTCAGCTTTATATTAAACTTTGCCGGCTAATGAATGCATAAAAGTGGATATAAACTGATGCAAGTAGATCGTAACAATCGCGAAATAAAACATTTGGGTCAGGTCTTCGTGTGTTTTTGTCACATTGTTTTGGCAAAACTGATGAATCAGTTCGAGATCTAATATTATTGCATATTTTCAACTATACTGTTAATAAACCATATATTGATCATTCATGGGGAAATATATTTTCTTTTCGTAAGGGTATGTGCCTGTGTTACAGAGTATGATCGGATATTTCGGTCAGCAACTTACCTTCTCATCTATCCAATCATGTTATAATACTCGTGGTTTGAAAGATCGGTACTTACATGTCTTGAGTTCGCAGATGCTGTCCATCCCCACCACCACCACCAGAATGGTTTCTCCCACTCCATCTCCTCCACTCCCACCACGATGGTCCATGTCCATCCCTCACAGTCGGCCTTCAGCCAGAGTCGGGACCCTCGGATTGCGAGCTTTGGACGGGGCCGAAGGCAAGGCAAGTTTTGTTTTGTAATTTATATCATAATATTACAGAGGCGTATTGCATTCACTTGAAGAAGAAAAAATCTACTCTGTTTTTCTGAATTAACGAGTTAATTTTTCATGAGAAAAAAAATTGCTCTGTTTTTCTGAAGTAACGAGTTAATTTTTAATGGATTTTTTTTTGCTCTGTTTTTCTGAATTAATGATTTAATTCAGAAAAACAGCAAAAATAAATTTTCTCATGAAAAATAACTCATTAATTCAGAAAAACAGAGCGAATTTTTTTTCTCATGAAAAATTAACTCATTAATTCAGAAAAACAGAGCAAAAAAATTTTTCTCATGAAAAATTAACTCATTAATTCAGAAAAACAGAGCAACATTTTTTTTCTCATAAAAAATAACTCATTAATTCAGAAAAACAGAGCAAAAACTTTTTTCTCATGAAAAATTAACTCATTAATTCAGAAAAACAGAGCAAAAAAATTTTTCTCATGAAAAATTAACTCGTTAATTCAGAAAAACAGAGCTAATTTTTTTCTCATGAAAAATTAACTCGTTAATTCAGAAAACTTTTACTTTTTGACAGGAATACACCTTAAGTATAATTTATATATATATATATATATATATATATATATGTGTGTGTATATAATAAGTTATTATAAGTACACTGTAAAAAACATATTTTCAAGATTTGTTATCACAATAGTTTTTCTTTTGTCAAATCAACTTAAATATTTTATTCAGTTCAGATAGCTTATTATTTTGAGTTTCTGACGGTTAAATCAATCTCCTACATTGTATTAACTCACTTTTTCCTGTTCAATCAACTTAAAAATTTAAGGCAACCAGGTTACTTACTTTTTTAAGTTAAACCAACAATATTTTTTTACAGTGTTTTTACAGTGTATCACAACATATTTTCTGTTGTCAAATCAACTTTATAATAATTTATTTACTTGAGGTAACTTATTATTTTGAGTTTCTGATGGTTCAATCTGCTACATTGTATTAATTCACTTTTTCCAGTTTAATCAACTTAAAATTTTAAGGCAACTAGGTTACTTACTTTTTAAGTTAAACCATCAATATTTTTTACAGTGTAAGTTATTAATATAATTAAAATGCATTAAAGATGGGTTTTAGTTATCCTAAAAGTGGTAGAAAAATACTTTTTTTAAGGTTTACATAGCATATTAAACATAAGTTCATTTTCAGTGTGTCAAAATAGTACAATTGAGTACACTTAGTTGATCTTAAGTTTATCTTAAGAAGTACTAAAGTTTAGCTATTAGTATATTAAGTACAAAATAAGTGCGCGAAAATAGAGCACTTTAAGTACATTATGGAAGTGTATTAAGCGCACTTAAATAAAATATATTTTAGTGTAATTTTTTTCACCTGGGCTCCCAAGACCCGAAATGAATGAGTCAATTAAGAAAGAAATCGAGTGTGTACTGTTGTTGTAGTCGGTCTCCTGAAACCGGGTTGGGAAACACTACAATAAAGTGTAAAGCTGATGTTCATTCTGATCTGATATTATTTATATTATTATGTTATATTATTATTATCTGATCTGATATTATTTTTTATATAAAATGTATATAATTACATTTATTTAAATTATATAATTGTATATTTATATTATTTTCAGATCCGATGTCCGACACAACAACTCTTCAACAAATTGGTGGAGAAGGTGGTAATGCATTCTCATTTACTGGTGAAAGCAACGGTGCCAGTTTAGAGAAGATCGGAGTCTGGGTGGGAGGGTGGCAGGTGAAGACTCTCAAGGTCTGGCTTACAGATGGGAGAGTCAAAGAATTTGGTGGACTAGGTCCCGACTTTGATAGACAAGGACCTTATATAGAGTTCATGTTCCAGCCTGGTGAGCGCTTCACCTCACTGTCCCTGTGGGGGAACGCAGAAGAAACACGTCTTGGAGCCATCAAATTCACGACCAATCAGGGGAGAGAATTCTTCGCAAAGAACAGCCCGGATTTAATAAGAGAATACTCCATTGATGTCGGCTCTGGGTTTTGTTTGGGAGTTGTAGGAAGATCTGGTTGGGAAATTGACAAGTTCGGGTTCATGTTTCTCAAAGAAGTTGAATCAGCCGTTCTGACCGATGTGAACTATCCCACTCTTCTGATACCAAAGGTGGCGGTAGAAGAAATCAAATGCGTCACTTTCAGGAACGACTCCTCCGCCACTCAAAAACAAAAAGTTGAAACCTCAAAGAAAGTGGTCAAAACATCTTCATGGTCAATAAGTGATAGCCTCACATCAATGTTTATTATGGACGTGAAGGCTGGGATTCCAGCGGTTGTTGAAGTTTCTTCATTATTCAGTGTCAGCGTTGGATCAGAAAGCACTTATAGTCAGGAGCACACAGATGAGAGAACCGAAACTCTGACTACCGATTTAGAGGTCCCACCAGGGAAGATGGTGAATGTCTCCATCATCATTGGCAGAGCCACTTTTGACATACCGTACACCGGCACAGTGAAGATCACCTGCAAGAACGGCGGTGTGTTACAGTATGGGACCAAGGGCACATACAAAGGAGTCACTTACACTGATATCAAAGTGGAGACTAAAGAATCTCCTTTGTGATGTTAAGACAGATTGCACTTGTGATGCACACAATCATCATGTATTTTTGGGGTGGTGTTTGGGTGTTCAGGGGAAATATATATTCAATATTTGTTGTCTTCTAATAACCTGATATAATAGCAATACACTAATATTCAGCTGCATACTTTGTGTAATCACTTTAAAATAATCTCTAGATACTGATTCTGTGTTCAATGACATTTCATATTTTTTATTTTATTTTTTAATTAAATAAACCCTGTGTTGCAAGTATTGTTCCCTCTACATATTTTCATTAATTTTCTCTATTAGGCGAACATTTCAGCAACATGAGCAACGGGCTTTATACCAGACCTGAAAAGTGACAAAAAGTGGTTAAATCATAATAGTTGTAACTTTAATGTGCTATTTCTGTTTGATTCGACCCTTAATGTAACTTAGTGATATTAAACCACATATTTGAAAACAAGCAATACATGTTCTCCAGTTGTTCTTCTTCTTAAATCTCATGCAGAACTGTTCAATTCTAAATATTAATTATATATAGTATAGTCTTCTATATTTAATTGTAATTTCCTTGGGCGTTCAGGGGAACTATACATTCAACATGTTTTTAATGCAGACACTTATGGTGTGTTCACACATGGCATGTTTGGTTGGATTAAAACAAACCCTAGTGCGATTGCTCTGTTAGTGTGGTTCATCACTGCCATAACCCTGGTGTAAACCAAACAAGTGGACCGAGAATGCTGAAAAGATGGGTCTTGGTCCACTTCCAAACGTTCTCTAGGGCAGTTCGACTGAAATATGAACCCAACATGGACCAAAAGCACGTAAACTAACCAAAAATGTGACATAATGTCATGATGTGACCCTTAGAAGAACAGAATAGGCTTTATGCACAGCTGCGCTACTTCCTGAACTTCAGCCAGTTTCTTGTTTCCTGTCTGCCATTATTGGTCAAATTGATTAATTCAGGTGTGTCTGATTATTGTTGCCATGACTACTGAGGTCAAGCACACCTGAATTAATCAATTTGACCAATAATGGCAGACAGGAAACAAGGAGCTGGCTGAAGTCCAGGAAGTAGTGCAGCTGTGCATAAAGCCCATTCTCAAGCATACCTTTATTTTTCTCATCATAGTCATTATGTTTTCCATCTCAGTACAGGCAGATCTTGTGTGACGCTGTTTTAACTCCTTCAGCTTCACACACTTAAAAACTCTTCACGAGTTCTCAGCTGGTTGAAATACCATCATATGATAGATAGATAGATGGCAACAATTACATTTTATTTAAATTATAAAGTTCTCTCAGTTATTTTTTAGTTACTAGAACTCTTGTGTGAGTGAACTATACCAACTAAGCTTTTGTCAGTAGGCTACAACATACTATTCCTAATTCACTTTACTTGTTTTTTTTTTTAAGGCAATCGGTTTGCATGCTTTTTTTAGTAATTCTAACTAATTAGATTTTACAGTGCTGAAGAAGCAAGAGTCTGGAAATGCGTCACATGACACATCAAATCTTCAATTAATTTGTCCAAACAGGATGCATTTATTGTTCTGATTGTTTGAAAATGTGATCAAAACTTTTATTTTCTCAAAATAAAAATCATTTGGAATGGGTCAGACTTATTATGTTTTTTTTAAGTGAATTTCGTTTTTTATAAATTGTATTTCATTTTAATCAATGGTTTTAATCAACAAATTGACTGGATTGATTTCAACATTTGCAGACAAGGATTTCTTTAGTTCACACAACAAAACAATAAGTATATGCAACAGTGACTTTAGTAGGATTTATTTAGTTTATACAACATATTTTAAGTTTACTAGGATTTCTTTAGTGCATACAACATAACAATAAGTACATGCAATAGTGACTTTACTAGGATTTCTTTAGTTCACACAACGGAAAATGCAACTTGCATTTTTTGAGTGCAAACCCTGTACCTTCTGTTAGGGATTAACAGTTAAGGACCCAGAACCAGAAATATAGAATGAAGACCCGGAGTCAGAATTATAAAAATTAAAGAAAAGTTTATTGAACATAGTTATCAGTTTCATCAGCAGAAGTCAGGTTACAGTTACAGTTACCCTTACAGTTACAAAGATCACAGCAGTTATACCATTTTCAAGGTCTAAGCTACGTCATTGCTTACAGGTTGAATGATTCTCATTGGCTAAGATATAGATACACAGTAATTTTCCACACATATAGACGAAGCATATCTCCATCGATGAGGCACGTCGAGACCTTCCAGGTCACAGATTTGGGTTGCTGGCGCCAGTGTGTCCAGAACAACAACTCATTCAATCTCCAATAATGGCAGTGGTTCCTTAACCTGCATCCAAGAAGACTATAGCACTGAACTTTAGTCTAACTGGAGTAAGACTTCAACAAAGAAACGGTGCCTTAAACTGTTGGATTCAATGACCCCTTTATGTTTTAACACTCAAACATAAACCAAAATCCCTATTTCCCTATTATTTTCACTGTTACTGCATTCACATAGGACACTAGCAAATAAGAGCTCCCATCAAGGCTGAAGAGAGTCTGAGCGTCTTATTATCAGTTAAGTGTACCAAAACATAATGGTAAAACATTCACTCGTTTGGTAGAAAAACAGATTATTCCTCAGGAAGCAAATATAATAGAAAGAATACATTTTAATACAACAATTAAAGTTCAATAAAGCAATGCTCAATATAGCTTGACCATCTGTACAGAGAAGTATCATATGTGTTGGACATATGTGTTCACGACGCCTTTAGGATCCACAAACATTTCTCCTGAGACCAGAGAAAGAGACAAATGGCCTTGTGCACCTAAAAGAAGCTGGTGACTTGTGTATGTACATCAGCATGCATTTAACTATATGATTTCACAAGCAAAAGCACAAAGAATAAATTTATGTCAATAAATGATTAAGTAACAATGAATATACTTAAGTATTGATTTTATAAAAGAAATACATAATCATTCAAAAGGATATTATGATATATATGCTGAAGAGGCAAGGGATTTTGACCACCCCTTCACTTCTCTTAAAACAATTAAAATATAGTTGGTAACACAATCTGATCTGTAGCATTTTTCGACAGAAAACCTGATGCTAATGATGACAGTTGTCATCAGGGAATAACAGACCTCCGAATGTTGCGACTGACCAATCAGAATCAGGTTTTCCAGAGAGCCATTTAATGAACTTTAATACAGTCAGTCTGTGTTCCTTCACACGGTTGTTTCATGTTTTAAATGTTTTATGTCGGTTGTTTCAACTAAATCTCGTGTAAACTTCAGTGATGAACTGGACTAAATCCAAACATGAATTTATACTGTTTGCAAATGTAGTTGCAGAAAAAAAAAAATCATTGTGATAGAATAATAAAAAAAAAGTATTTTTAGTTAAACACCTTAACATAATTTTGAATTGTTAATAGTTAAAAGTTAATATGAGGAATTTTTGCATGAGGATTTATGATTTTTAATATTAGGATTTTTAATATGAGGAAGTTTTATAATTTTTGTGTGAAGAGTGTTCATTTATATGATAAATATCATACATCAATAAACCATGTGAGTTGATGCTCTCTTTGACTTGTCTTCATGTGAATGTTCGACATGAGTAATACATTTTTGGACGTTTCCATTAGATCAGATTGTTCCTTAAAATCAGACAGGAAGAGCTCTAGGAAAGGAATTGATCCAATCCGCACCCCAGAGATTTGTTCAAAGGCTCTAGGACTGAATCCAGTCAGTTTGTTTGTCTCTTACGGTATCAGATTCTCAGCGCCGGAAATAAAAATATTAAAAATAAATGTCTAAATGACAATAATTATTGATCAATAATTGTCATTGTGGCAATTTTTGAGCAAAAAAAAAATGTGATTGTCAGTTTATCCAATTATCATGCAGCTCTGAAAGAACTGATCATTTTCAGATTTCTTGCATTTAAGAAGTTTTATCATGACTGAAAAATGCGGTCAACTTTTGCAACCTATCCATCACATACTGTAAAGCCCCTTTATTTTTCTTCTCTTCTCCAGCTTTCTTCAGATCCTGCAGGTTCTTCATCCATTCCTCTTTTCCCTCCTCCTCCTTCAGTCTGGGAATCAGGAAATCCAGATGTTGAAGAGTGAAAGCGCTGTCGGCTTTTAGTGCGATCTTAGACAGACTCGTGATGCTGACATAAGCTTCATACAGCAGTTTGGACTTTTCTTGTTTAGTCTTCTCCAGAACAATTTTCAGGTTTTCTTCTATTTCATTTTTACACTTTTCAATCTCTTTCTCACACTTTTCATATTTTTCTTTATCAAAGTCAGTTTCATTCTGGACACTTTTGCTTTCATACTCCTTTTTAAGCTCATCAAATGTCATTGTGACATCCTCTGTCTTCGTCACATATTTTTTGTCCTCTTTGACATGTTTGCTGTAATGACACTTTCTGGTACACACAGTGCAGTGACTGGCTATCATGACTTCACACCATGAGAGATTATCAGAAGAGACCCAATTACAGCCCCACTCATGACAGTTTTCCTCACAGACGAAGCAGCAGGTCGCCTTACTGTTCCACGGCCACTCATTTACAATGGGGACTTTTACTTTGAAGAACTTCTTGACTGTAAACTGAAAGTCCTCACACTTCTTGATCTTGTCTCTGTTCTGTCTGAGAATTTCCTGAATCTGTTTCAGTTCATCAGTAGTTTTTGACTCCTTCTCCTCTATTCTCTGCTTCAGATTAGAGACACAGGCCTCGAGTCGTCTTCGCTCTTTCAGAACATCTAATGTCATCTCAACACTTTTTCTGTTCTTTACATCCATGAGTGTTAATAACTCAGTCATGCTTTCTTCTCCCATTCCCCAGGCTGATCTCAAACCTTGATTATATTTTTTGTCCCTTTTCTGTTTCTGTCGGTTGTTGAATAAGAAGTGAACAGGTTCATTGTCTTCATCTCTTCTGCAGGGTATTTCTGCTTTATTAATGGCATTGAGAGCATCTGTTGGAGGTCCTCCATCTGACTGTGTGAGAAGAAACACGATGTTCTCCTCTATATTTCTACCAAAGAGAGACAGAACTGAGTGAAATATGTAAAGCTGTCTGTCAGAGAGACGATTCTGAAACACCTTCATCACAAAACACACTGCATCAATGTAATGAATCCCATCATCCTTATCTGAAAATAATCTGGTCAGATATTTAGAAATCTCTTCATCTTTTTCGTATCCTTCACTGTGTCCGTATCCTGGAGTGTCAATGATGGTCAGAGATGTTGGGTTTTCTTCAACAAACGCCTCATAAACCGTGATCTCAGAGGTCTGGGATTGTGACTGATCTTTATGTTTTTCTTCATCTGTGATTTGATAAAACTCTTGATCCTCAAACTTCACTCCCAGTATGTAGTTGATCATGGTGTTCATCATGGTGGTTTTCCCAGCGCCGGTTTCTCCCACCATCAGGATGACTTTATTCTGCTTGTTTCTGTCTCTTCTTCCATATGTCCACTGTCTGACCTTTTTATCAGTCCCATGGATATATTTTCTTTCTGTGTTCAGACGATAAAGCGCTGGAGGACCTTTATCAGGATTCATCAGTGTAGCATCATGACGTGATCTACAAAAGAGAGAATTGATTCAACATTTTTAAATCAGATATTTATTATTGCCTGTTTTGCAGTGACAGGACGGCAGTTATTTATTTATATTTATAAGTAATATTGATTTTTTTTCATAAACATATCAGTTTTCTATCTCTTTTTTTGAAAGTTGTTGAAGTTTTTTTTAAGCTTGTAACTTTTTTTCTTCCAAGACCAGTAGGATCATTTCATTTATGTGACAATAGTCTCAACGATTCTTGGAGGAGCCGCTACTTCAGTATACTTTTCTCTCTTACTTTTTAAGTTTGGACCATTTAAACCAAAAAAAAAATTCAAATGAATGAAATGAACATGTTAAGAATGAAAACTGTTATGTTACATTTGTATTATGACTCTTACCTGTTGACATGTGCATGTTGCTGTTCGGTCTGGTCAGATTCTCTGCTTCTCTTCTCTCGGTTACTGTTCGACATTGTAGCAGATGAATCTGTAAAATATAATACATCTTTTACACAAGTGCTTCAAAATAAAGGAAATATGACTTAATCAAATTGTCAAGCCAAAGTATTAATCTTCAGTCTATAAATGGTCTTGTGCTCCAGACATGAATGATGCCTCAGATCATGCAGTTGAGGAGATTTTCTAAGGTCTTTTCCACATGGGATATGATTATTTCTGACAGAACAGAAATTTTGGTGCCTTTTATAAGTAAACTAAACTCTGAATTAGAGACAGTAAAAGTGAGTGGGTCCAATATCATTGGTCTTAAAGTGTGTGGGTCTTGTTCCAGTTCCACACACACACAATGATTCTGACGACCATCTCAATAAAAGTTATTATTCGTCAATATTTCAAGTCCATCGTCTTTATTGACATCAATACTGACATATTTTCTGCTGGCAGTGGTGATTGTCTCCAGCCTCTTTGGAGAAGTTGCTGTTGGACGTGTATGGTGACGAAAACGAAAAATAAATGATATATGTATCATATTTGCTGCCCTTTCATCATAGAGGCTGGATCAGTTGTACTAGTGGGTGAACTCAGACTGGAACGCGTTTTGCTTAACATGTAACTTTTTCATTTACATGGACTGTATTCAGACCGCCTATATACTGTATATAACTTCAGAGCAGCTTTATTGTTTTCACCATCATGTGAGTTTTCTTTTCATGTACAGTTATTTATTTCGTTTTATTTTGGTGAAAAAAATAGTATTAGAAGACGGCTGCATCTCAATGCTTCGAATTTGCTCATTGCCAGGATTTGTGAAGCTAAATTTCACATTCATAAAAGTAAATTTAATAATTCTAAGCCTTGTTTAAAGGTTTTTTTATGTTGCATATTGAGTCTCTTAAATGTATAGATAATAAGAAATGCTCTAACACAATTGTATTTGCTAAAGAATTGAAAATAATTGAATAGTGAAGAATTATATGTTTCTCTTCTTTCCTCAATACTGTCTTGGTTTGTTACTTCTCGTAGCTATTACATTTATAAATAGTTAAATTTAGCCCTTATATTTAATTTGTTTTGTTGTTTTTTTCTCTTTTTTTTCTTTCCATTCTTTTTATTTTTTAATTTAGTCTCTTATTCATTTATGTTAAACTAATTTGGAAAAATCTTGGATTGTTGTCTTTTTGGATGTCATGTTATTGTTTGTATAATGTCTAATAAAAAAAAAAAAAAAAAAAAAAAAAAAAAAGGATTTGTGAAGCTTTTTCTGAAACGTGTGCGCATGTCTCCCTCCTGTGGCGGACTACAGTAACTGCATAGCCGAGAGCAAAAGGTGAAAGCACTGCAAATGAGTCTTCAATAATGTATACATATTGTGAAGTAATTTCATAAACTTAGTGAGCTTTCCAGGCTTCCTCTTTCTCCTGCTCTTGAGGGTTCTGTGATCTCAGACCGCCTTGGCGATTTATGTAGGAAACCACCGACATGTTGTCCGTGCGGACAAGGACATGGTGGCCCTTTAGAAAGGGAAGGAAGAACCGTAAAGCGTTCTCAACCGCCTTCATCTCTAGACAGTTTATATGCAAGCTCTTTTCTTGGCTTGACCACAGGCCAAAAGTCGGTCTGCCCTTGTAGAGGGCGCCCCAGCCTGAATTGGAGGCGTCTGTTGAAACCACTTTCAGTTTCGAGATTACGCCCAGGTTTACACCTGTCTGATACCGGTCGACCGCCTCACAGGGCTCCAGAGCTGTGATACAGTTCTGAGTTACCTTGAGACATAAACGACCGGATGCCCGTGCTCGACGCGGGACCCGCGTCTTCAGCCAGTGCTGTATGCGAAGCAGAAATTATTAAGTTGTGAATTGTCATGGTAAGGACAACATGATTGTTTTTTAGTCTCGGAACCAACTTTATTGGACTTCTTGACCACAAAAATGTACACGTTGATATCAAATTTGTCATTATAGCTATAACAGAAGCAAAGATATGTGCCTCTCAAGTATGGTCGGCGGCCATTTTTAAAAAAATGTGCGTATATAAGAAACAAAATGTGATCTCACTTGTGTCTTAGGATAAATGTATTTCTATGGCCTTAAGGTACTTCCATACCAAAGGGGACCTTTGCATCATGACTTGAAGTCAAAAGTCGCTTCACCTCTCTACTATTATCTAAAGTTGATCTAGGGACAAAATCACTGAACTTTTTTTCTCAGTCGAAAGTTGAATGACTTAAGAATCGGTTCACTTGCTTTTTTGTAGTCCAGCTAAAGTTTTTCAAAGCTCTGATGTAGTGCTTTTTGTTTGACATTATTGGTAATGCTGAATGCAGCACTTGTTACACCACCTGCAACTCCAACACTAATCCCAACACCAGTTACAATCAGAGACTGCAGAAATTGCACCAGCAGTGATTCCTCCAGCGGCTCCGATCACTGAACCTGTCAGACTGCCTATAGTGCAGTTATGATGGATCTCCTCTAGTGAATCTGTTGTTGTTTCCCACTCACCCACTACAGTCTCAAAGTCTTTATAGTACTCACTGTAAGGATCGATGGAAGTCAATAACCTACATTTCAGTGCATCTGGAATCCTCCTATTTCTCTCTACTGCATCTTCCAGGAATGGTTTTTCCAGAATCTCATCAGCTGAAGGTCTCTCATGAGGGTCACGGCTCAGCATTTGACTGATTAATTCCCTTAGATCTCCAGAGTACATATTTGAGATTGTGGGTATGGTTCCCTTCAAGCTAATGGCATGTAGAAAGGGACGCTCTATGGTGTCTGACTGTCAGATAAAGGGGGAAAAAAAGTCTGATTAACCTCTAGATTATTAAAAATTAAAATATATTAAAAAATAAGACCATTATGTGACTAAATTTATATTCTTACACTTTTCCCCAAAGTAACTAGCCATAGAAGAACAAAGGCAATTTGTTAAACAAAGCCAACATCATTTGTAGGACACAATTCCAGACTTAATATACACATATATTAAAGGGATAGTTCACTTTGAAATTAATTTTTGGTATGTTTTATCTTACCTCAAGGGCATCCGAGATGTAGGTGTCTTTGTTTCCACAGTATTTCTAATTTTGACATTTTTCAGTCAAACCGTTGTTGTCTATCAGTCATACACTGGAGGCTAAGGGGGTCCACCAAAGATCATGCACAGAGAAGTCCAGATTAAACATGATTTAATGACTCGTAAATGTAAGTACACATTGATGGCCTAAGACACGAAACGAGCGGTTTGTGTGAGAAAACAAACAGTATTAATATCGTTTTTACCTCGTGTAATCACAGTGATCTGAATCAGTTCAATGTCCAACTGAACCGAACTGAATCAGTTCAATGTTACGCCGGAAGTGATCGCTTGCGTGTGGCGTCACTCAATATTTACACGGAGATTGCGGAAGTTTTACCTTTTACTAAACATATTTAGATTTACCGAAATCATCTTCCATTGCGGTTTCCCGTATATCTAAATATGTTTAGTGAAAGGTAAACCTTCAGAAATCTCTGTATAAACAAAGAGTGACGTCGGCAAGCGATCACTTCCAGACCGAAGCGCCCGTGCCGTCAGATCATTTTGTCATGGCTATGATTACAAGAGGTAAAACGATATAAACGCTGTTCGTTTTCTCACACAAACCGCTCGTTTCGTGTCTTAGGCCATCAATGTGTACTTACATTTACGAGTCATTAAATCATGTTTAATTTGGACTTCTCTGTGGCTGCTCTTTGGTGGACCCCCTAAACCTCC